TACACCTGTAAATTTAATGAAATAACCCACCACTAAACGTTCGAATCGGACTTTTATATACTTTTATTATATTATAAGATTATGATTTACGCGTTTAAAACGACACTGCCAAAGTGTAAAACCACAAAATTAGAGGTACCAACGTCTCAAACGTCGTTATCACTGGTTTCGCCTACTAGACTTTTCTAACTGCGGTATTCATAAGTCCTGTCTCCGACCTTGGAAATTCACTTTAAACGATTTTCAGCTACCTAGGGTATTCCTATACAGCGAGTTTTACCGACCTAGGGTATTCATATACAGCGGGTTTCACCGACCTAAGGTATTCACTTACAGCGAGTTCACCGGTGCTAGTAAAATAATAATAATAAAATCTCATAATAACATGCGGGTCTTACTCATAAACACAACGAAAATAATTAATAATATATGGACAATTTTTAATATTATACATATAATTTATAAAATATATGCTACTTAATCTAGAAATAATCAATATATGCGTTTATATGCTCAAAAATGTCAAATATGCAAAAATATGCAAAATAAGTTTGCTTATTACTAATCTAGACTTCATGAGTCGGATTTATATCATACTCCGGTGTAATTCTGGCTGCGCGAAAAAAATATACTAAGTCATAAACACCCTAGCTCTAGTAATTATACAAACAAAATGATAAGCTCAATTCAGCCGAAAACAATTTTATATAATCTGTGATAAAATAATCACAGAAATGAGATATAGAAATGAAATCTATAGGATAGCTTGTGATAGTCGTGTTCATGGTACTCTTTTTAAATTTAAACCATATCGCTATCTAGTGACGAATTAACTTACTGCATTATTTGATTATTGTGAAATAAATAATTTCCATAATTTAATTCATTTTTAAGTATGTGTAATAAAACAATTAACTGAATAATCAATTCATATTTTATTGATGTGATCCATGGTTATAAGATATAATTAAAATTACACTATATTACTATTGCTAGCAATTGCAATTCAATAACTAAAATATAATATAATATTTTTGACTGTTGTCTGTGGGTGCAAAATGATACTTTTGCCCCCCTAGAAAAATTGTCGTGGGTGCAACTGCACCCTCATGCACCCCCAGATGCCGCCACTGGTTATGGATATTTGAATTAAAAGTTTGTACTACTAATTGCAGTTGAAATTTGAAAGAAAACAAAATTAATTTTCTAAAAAATAAGCAAAAATTATGATAAACATCAAATTATTTATTTTATAAAACAAATTCATACTTTCATGATAAATTGTTTAGTTGGCTTAAAGATTAAAATATAATATGTAAATAAATATGGATATTTTATTCTTTTACAGTCATCAGATACCAATAGCAAGCAATGTAAATTTGCTTTAATTGCTGGTAAAATTGAGCTGTCTAGTCATAAAGTTTACTGTATTTTTGATTAATTATATAAACTCTATTAATTGCCACTGAAATAAAATTAAAATATTTGAACCATGGTTAATTTTTGTCAATAATACGTATAAAACATTTAATAAAAAAAATAAAATTCTAGTATATTAATTTCAGATTGCACTTACCAATAAATTATACAAATAAAGTTGTCGGAAAAATATGAAATCTGATTCCCATATACCTACATAATAATATTCCTGATTGGATAGAAGTATATTTTTAATTAAATTCAAATTTGTTAACCAAATTACAACATTAAAGGACCATGAAAGGAAAAAATTTTAATTTATTTTATATTCAAAACACAGTACTTCGTGTAAAAATAATCCAAACTAAAAATGCTTACGACGTTTCGTTTGACGTATACAGCTATTTAAGTTGAGTGACGTCATAGACACTATTCTCCTGGCGTTTATACATGTAACAATTACGTCCAGAATGGGCTCCAAGATGGTATGCTAGCAGTTGCCGGGGCGCTACGTTTTTAGGGCGCTTTTAATATACGAATATTTTATAAATTTAGCGTAATATTTATTCGAATTGAGTATTGACAATATTATAGCTAAATGACTAAATTATCCATGACAGAATATTCTGTTATATAATTTTTATAGATTTTATTTCACTTTCCAGTTTTATTGTTACCTATATTACAAATAATTAAAATAATATAGGTACAAATGTACAATAATATATAATCATTAAGTCGGGAAACCAAAAAGTTTGTGTTACAGCGATAACGTCTGGAGATATAGAGATAGTCGCTATTGACTGTGTTGTTATTATTATAGTTATTAATCGTACATTTATCGCCTTTTATTGTCGTTATCTGTAATAATCTTCCTATTACTCTATGTAATGTTCGTATTTATGAATACGATGTACAATTATTTCATTTTTGTTTTGCTGGTGAAGTTGAACAGTTGTTAGTGGTATCGCCGGTATCGGTCAAAAATAATTGTATTTTTAAATAATTGTAGCAATTTTGAATCTACGCTTTGTATAATAAATTATTATAAACAGCGCTCATAAATTAATGCGATTTTATTTAATATTAATTGGTAGACAAAAATACCAAAAAGTAGTGGTTATCAAAATCGTAAAGGAAACTAGAACAGGATTACAAGTTGAAAATGTCCAAAATTTCATCATTTTCAAATCTAATATGAACGAACAAACCCTAATGTGACATTTGAGAGTGAATTAGAAGATCGTTTTAATGAAATAAATGATTTTAATAGCTCTAGTAATGACGAAGAATGTAGTAATATTCCTAATATACTCCGAATGTTCCAAAAATATCGATGAATCTTTGACGTAATAATTAGTTCTACAATGATATAGCATATTGGCCTGAACAATTAACATCTACTGACAAAAGATTATTTGATAACAACAGGACCCAAAATCTATTGATTATATGAAAAATTTTAATTTCCTAAAGATAATAATAACCGTAGTTTTCATATTCGTTATTTTTCGAACTATAAGTAACGGAGAAAAATATTTAAGAAAATGGCTAGTGTACTCGAAACAGTTAATGCAGTGTTTGTTTTTGTAAAATATTTGATCCCACGAGTCGATCTAATTTAGCCAAAGATGGGTTAAAAGACTGGAAACATGTACAGAATATTTAAAACACACGAGAATTCGCCTCATCATATCAAATATGCTAGTATGTGGTTGGAAACTAATATAAGACTTAAAGAAAACAAATCAATCGACGCAGGCTACAAAACAAATAGTTGCTGAAAGAGAACATTGGAAAAAGTTTTAGAACGATTAGTTGAAATTACAATTTTCTGGGAAAATAATTTAGCATTTCGAGGTTCTTCGGACAAGTTATTTACACATCATAATGGAAATTTTTTGGGTCTTGTCGAGTTGTTAGGAAAATTTGATTTAGTAATGAATGAACACGTTCGTCGTGTCATGTCTCGTGAAACTCATGTACATTATTGTGGAAAAACTATTCAAAATGAAATTATTAATATAATTGGGAACTTAACACGTGACAATATACTAAGTCGAGTTCGCAAAGCTAAATATTATAGTATTATGTTAGATTGTACTCCAGATATTAATCATGTTGAACAACTTTCTTTGACTTTGAGAATTTTTGATATCGACGAAATGTGCATTAAAGAACATTTTATAGAATTTGAACCAATATTCAACTCGTCTGGTGAAGGAATTTATGAGTCTATATTAAGTATGTTGAAAAGTTGTAAACTAGAACTAAATGACTGTAGAGGTCAGGGATATGACAATGGGGCAAACATGAAGGGAAAAAATAAAGGCGTTCAAGCACGAATATTAAGAGCAAATCCTCGAGCTTTTTTTATGCCATGTGGTTGCCATTCACTGAATTTAGTAGTCGGAGACAGTGTTTCTTGTTCTATTGAGTCAAAGAACTTTTTTGGGACGATTCAAAGAATTTATGTTTTATTCTCTGCATCTGTTGAACGTTGGCATATCTTAAAAAAACATGTAAAATCTTTAACTGTTAAGTCACTTTGCGAAACTCGATGGGAATGTAGAATAGATTGTATTAATGCTATTAAAAATGAAATCTCACAAATAATAGATGCACTGATAGAGTTAACCGAATTAAATACTGCTGATCATTTAGTTATTTCTGAAGCTAATTCATTAATTCAATTTATAGAGAGATTCGATTTTTTAGTTTTGTTATGTTTTTGGCAAGATATTTTATCAAAAGTTAACCTCGTTAGTAAGTCAATGCAAAGTTCAAAAATGGATATTAGGACCGCAGTTTTACTTTTGGATAATTGTACAAAGTTTTTACATGATTATAGAATAACTGGTCATACAGAAGCTATAAAATCTGCTGAAAAATTAGCTTTACAATTAAATGTTGAACCGAAATTTAGAGTCACTCGTGTAATACGTAGAAAAAAACAATTTGATCATGAATCTAGAGACGAAGCTTCAGAACCCCAAAACCCAGAATTATATTTCAAACAGCATGTATTTAATAACATACTAGACCAAGCAATATCTTCTATTTCTGAACGTTTTGAAAAAATTAAAGAATTTAATGATACTTGGGGATTTTTGTACAATATAAAAGAAAATAAAAGCCACGAAGATCTATTAAAATCGTGTAAGGATCTACATTTAAAACTTAACGATCAGAATAAAGATAAGACAGAGTGCGATTTGAATGGTATAGATTTGTGTAATGAAATTGAGATTGTAAGATCATTATACTCTAAAAAAGATAGCTGTCCATTGGAAATCTTAAGATTTATTAATGATAACAAATTACAAGATACCTTACCAAACTTATGGGTGGCTTTAAGAATTATGATGACAATTCCTGTAACTACTGCAAGCTGCGAGAGAAGTTTCAGCAAATTGAAGTTAATAAAAACGTACTTGAGATCAACAATGACAGAAGAACGTCTCAACAATTTAGCATTAATCAGTATAGAAAATGATATAGTTTCTAAATTAGATCTAAACGAAGCAATACAAAATTTTGCTGATTTAAAATCTAGAAAAAAATGTTTATTTTAAAAAAATTATTATTAATAATATTTATTACATTGTATACGATTAAAGAAATAATCTGAATTCATATTAATTATAAAAAATAAAAATAAATTGTATCCAAATTAGTTTTGCAATTCTTTACCTCTCCATAAATATAAGAATTTAAAACAAAATATGTAGGTATAAAAAGTATAAAAGTATAAAAATGTATAAAAAGTATTAAATGTAGCTACTATAGAGCATTTGATTAAGGGCGCCTTTCAAAAAAATTGCCCGGGGCGTCAAAATACCTTGGGCCGGCCCTGATTACGTCTTCAACTTTGTTTACCCATTATTATGAATGTAATATTCAATATACCGGGTTGGGTCTTGGAGATATTTTTAACGTTCATAATTTTCGATTTAATTTAATGTTATAATATTATATAATTAACTATAGCAATAATTATAGTGGCATAGTCACAAAATATGATACTGTTCAACAGTCTATAGTCTATTATTGTAATCAAAGATATGAATCAATCTGATTTGCTCCGAAAACAGTTGATGCCAAATGAAAATATTCGAATACGTTTAAATGTTGATGCTGTTCCTACTGTACGTTTTGACGACGAGAAAATTACGCCGAAAACTGTAAGAAGACAATTACTCTCAGTAATTACCTAACCAGTACACCAAAAAAAGTAAAATTACAACCATCAACATCAACTAATATTATATGTATGAATAATTGTCAAGAACAAAATAGTGAAGAGTATCTGATTAATTCAAATGTCGAAAATAAGAACGATAAAGGTATACAGTGTGATATGGATAATGAAACAAATACTGATGCTATCGAATCATTCGATTTTCCATCTGATATTAGCTCTACAGATGACGAATCAGAAACAACTTATGAAGAGCAGCTCGATTATCTTAGCGCTAAAACACATTCACTAGAAAAGGTAGATAGTAATGCAAGTTTTATAGTTTTTTGGGATTGTTTATCTGAACTTTTTATTCATTGTCGTCAATGTAGCAGTAAAATAATATCAAAAACATATTTTACGCAAGGTGCTTTATTGTCTATTACGACAGTCTGTAATAAAGGTCATAAATTACAATGGTCATCGCAAAAAAAAAATAGGACGTCGTCCTCAAGGTAATATTTTAATTGGTTCAGCACTTATGTTATCGGGTGTACTTTTTACCCAAATGACGGCATTTTGTCAGTCGCTTAACTTGTCGTTTTTTTCTCGGCCAGTTTATGACAATATAATAAAATATTATACGGGCCGGGTTATTTGCGAAGTTTGGGATGACCATCGAAAAAAAAATTTAGAATTACTAAAAAATTCTGATATTTGGTTATCGGGTGATGGACAGTTTGATTCGCCTGGATTTTGCGCAAAATATTGTACATATTCAATTATGGATCTACACACAAGTAAAATAATTGATTTTAAGCTCGTACAAAAAGGTATGTTTCAAGGTGATCTCGAAAGAAAAGCGTGTGAATTATTATTAGAAAATTTAACTAAAGAAGAAAATATGAAAATTAAATTATTTTTATCCGATAGGCATAAAGGTATACGGTATTATTTACGAACCCAGCACCCTGAGATTGAACATGAGATATGGCACTTAACAAAAAGTTTAATGAAAAGATTAAAAACATTAGAAAAGAAATATCCAGATGTTTTTCTATGGAAATCTAGTATTAACAACCATTTATGGTGGTCGGCGCAAACTTGCCAAGGAAATGGTAAAATATTGGTTGAAAAATTTTTATCAGTTTTACATCATATTAGTAATGAACACGAATGGGAAACGAGTGGAGAAATAAAGCGGTGTGAACATGAGTCAATATCAGAAAAAGAATCAGATGAAAAATTATGGATTAACCCTCTGAGTGAATCATTCTTTGCGTTAAAAAAAATTTTAACAGCAAAAGATTTTATAAAAGATTTGGAACAGGCAAAACATTTTGTTCATACGGGTCGGTTAGAATCTTACCACAATGTACGGCTAAAATATATGCCGAAGCGCATACATTTAAAATATAATGGTATGTATTTACGATCCATTTTAGCAATACTAGATCATAATTATAACACAGGCAAAAACATAATTGGTGATAAAATGATTTTTTCGAAATCTCTTCAAAAATACACAATAAAAAATACTTACGAACGATCAAAGACGGATTGGCGGAAACAAATTATGAATAAGATTGAAGAATTGTCAAAAGAAAATATCTTAGAACCTATGAATATCTCTGAAAATGTATCTGTTCCACAAAATATCGTTCTTTTACCGAAACCAGATTTAGTCGAAATGCGTGAAAAAAAATATTCAAGATTTTCTAATAAATAAAATAAGTATTTTTATCAAACTTTATTGTACTTTATTGTAATCAAGCTAGTTATCTTTTAGTTGTATAAAATATTATTTGAGTAGGTATCATAGTGTTTACTTTTTCATAAATAAAATATAAATAATTACAGATTATACATAATTTTAATTTATTTTTAATATGGTATTTTTGAGTTTTTAAAACCAGTGTATTGTCCATCTTCTTCGGCATACTTTGTACGAATTACATTTATTACACACGCTGGGATTACAACTCGATTTCCTAAATTAAGTAAATAATCTAATAAATACTTTTATTAAATTTGAAAAAAAATTATTTAATTTACCTTTTCCTATAGGTGTCCATTCATTTGCCCAGAAAACAAATTGTTTGTAGCACAGATATCTTCTCGTTTTATTTCCCAGGATAGTATTGCACAGTAACTTCTTTTTTCCCTTATTTTTTGTTTTGGAAATGATTTGTTTTCGAGTAACGTCAATAACTTCTTCATCCATTATTAATTTCGAAAACGATGGGTTTTCTATCACACATTTATATATACCGCGTAATTTATTTAAAATGTCTATTTCCGAACAGCAAATACACTCGCGATCCGTTGGTAATATTGTGCATTTTTGACAATTACACCAATTATTTATTTGAAGCAATGATCTACCAAAGCATTGGCTAAATTTATTATGGTTAGTATTAAAAGAATCATAGTCATCGCAGAAATCTGATTTCGTTCAAATTGATATGGTGATGTCATATTGATGAGTCAACCACAATCGTAATTTATTTTCAAGTACACTCAAAGAAACACAGAACAATACTAAAATCATAAATACTAATCCAGTCCTAAAAGAAAACGACAAAAACCCGTTATGTAGAACGTAATTATTTTTGTACACAAAAATATCAAACCCAAAATAATAATAATATGTAATAATATTATGAGAAATAATAATAATAGGTACGACGCTCAACGTGCGACGCGCGTTACACCGGCCCCCCCACTTCTAAAATAATTAATATTTTACTATGTATAATTAGTACGTAATTTGTATGAATTTGTACGACCATTTTGAATTTGTACGCAACTCGTTCTACGAGAAAATCCATTTTGTGTGGGGGCTGGGTAACGTTATTCAACCCCGCAACCACCAAATGCTGTTTAATGCAGCTTCAAGTATACCAATAATTATTGCGTAATTAATATGAATTTGTACGACCATTTTGTGTACACCTTTCGTTCTACAGTATGAATTTGTTGAATAGGGTTTTAAATTTTACATTTCGCCTACCTAGGCATTTTTGAGTTTTTGGATGACATGCCAATTATTATTTAAAACCAAATGATAGTTAGGAAATGTTGGAATAATCACGAATAACGAATATTTTAATATATTTAAGTAATATAAA